GGGACCATACCATGGGGGGGGGAGGGGGGGGGAGCCCGCCGGGGCGTGACCATATATCCACATGTTTGTGCATTTGTACATAAATGTATGTATATATCTATAATTACAGAAAAATGTTGCATGTGTTTGATGGCATGCTATGAATCTCCAGGAACTGTTTGGTTTTACCTGTAAGGTGCGGTCACATCTCTAACCATCGCCGAATAACAGCCAACTGCCACAACATGGACAGAAAGAATGTGCACGTGTGCTCCACTTACGCTATATTCCTACTGGGCTGGGTATCAACCACTGAATCCAAACTGGAATCGCTGCTACCGTTCCTGGGGCGACGCCCTGCAAATGTGTGACCCTGAACTCATCTGGACTCCAACCCCTAATGCTATCTTTCTTCTGACACCGCCAAATTGAAAGTCCACACGCTGTCACACCCTACCTCCAACAATCAATATACATAGTACGAGTTGATTGTTTCTTTGTTGTTTCAACTTCTACAACTTCTACCTGGGACCCCGAATTACCTACAGCTTAGTAGTAAACACCCCTGATATCATAGGTATAGCCCAGAAAACTGTAGGTATTTGGTATTACAGGTCGGTCAATTCCCTTCACCCAGCACCGCCTCCCCATCGAAATCTTCCGTGCCGTCATCGGCCGCCATGGAGGCGTAGAGCTTGTCGTCCGCCGTTCTGTGGCCGGCCTCGCTTTGAGGAATCCATGGGAAGGTTCCAGGGTTCAGGGAATGGGGGCTTTGGAATTTTGAGATTTAAACCCTAAACCCTAGGGTTGGGGCTTGTTTGTAAAGAGCCTAAAGTTGAAGCAAAATGGATTTGTTGCGGTTTAGGGCGTAGGGCTTGGCGTTGAGGGATTTTAGGTTAGAGTTGAACTGAGGGTTTTGGATTAAGTAGCAACTAAATGAACAGTCATTCACTCCTCTTCATAGCTGCTTGCTTGAGCCATAACTCTAAACTGCAAGCTCTGAACCCTAAACCAGGACCATGGCTGATTTTAAATTGAACCTGCGGTCGTAATAGGACCCGTTTTGCTGTTCCATGATAGCTTCGGGGACGGCGCCGCTAAACCCTAAACCCTAAACCTTCAACACTAAACCCTAAACCCTGAACCCTAAACCCCAAACTGCAGCCTGGGTGCCTTATCCGGCTTGGCAATGTGATCCTGCAGCACCGCCTTGCCAAAGGAAAGGGCCACGAAGAGTTGGTTTAGGGTTTAGGGTGCGTCTGGGCGGAGCGTTTCGAGGTTTGTCCAGAGCCTACAAAGGAAGTACACGCAGCCTATGTGAAGCTGTATGACAGGGATGGGGCTGTCAGAACATGGTGTTGGTCTGTAGGGCAGGTAGCTGAACTTTGGGAACGGAAGGTAGACGAAGCGGCTGCCCTAACTACTCACGCCTGCACACCCCTACTACTAAGCTTTGTGAATATCACTCCTCTCTGTGCCAGTAAGTGTATTGGGAACATTGTTAGGAAGTTGGGGGTTTTATTGTGAGGGGGTGTCATCGCAAATAGCCCTTGCATAGACCCACTTTCCATTTCATGTTCCACTTGCTTTTCAATCTGGTTTTCCAATCTTAGTGGGCGAGCGATGCCCCAAACCCTTAACCCTTGAGCCTCGAAACAAGTACCCTACCATTCCTCCACAGACATCGGTAAACCATTCCTCCTGCTTGAGCCCCTCCCTAAGGGTCCTAGGACCCAAATAATAAGGTTTTAGTGCCCAAATACTAGAATATGAATGGTATTTGGGCTCTAAAACCCTATTGTTTGGTCCTTGGACCCTTGGGGCCTTGAATCAAACAAACGCAAGCCCCAAACCCCTAACCCTAAACCCTAAAACCTAAACCCTAAACCCTGAATCCTGAACCCTAAACCCTGAACCTTAAAGCCTGAACCCTAAACCCCGCAAGCCTCGACATTCCCACCGTTCTCAGCTGCAATCAAACCTTTCGGCCGACCGGATCATGAATTGAGTAGTGCTTTTTTTGGTGGTTGAACCTAGTAAGATAATATTCCTCATATAAAATACTATACCCCAAAAGGAGGACAGAATCTTACTCTATATTGGGTACCATGATATCCCAAAAAAATGTATTACTCAAGTGGGGGAGAGACTTATACAGGCACCTTCTTGGAGGGATTCTACGAGGCGAGGTCAGTTTTGCAGCGTATGTTCCCCTCAGCTTGTGGCCATCTTCTCGTTGCCTACTAGGCGTGGGCATGAGTCCTTCTGCACCTACAGTATATGGGCTACTGCCTAAACTCCTAGTATCCCCCTTGATAACCCCTATAGTAGTCCCCTATATAATCTCCTATATGACCCCCCCCTTAAGGAGTTTAGACTATAGCTCATATGAGTCCTAATCGAACCCTAAACCCCAAACCCTAGACCCTGAACCCGAGACCCTAAAAACGTGACATCTTACAGGTAGGCTTTAGGGATCAGGGTTTTGGTGTACTAGGCTCTGGGGGTTGGGGATTGAAGCTCGTGATGTATTAGAGCCTGGGCTACCTTCCTTGAAGGCCTCATGGGTAGCTACCTTGCTGCTGCTTCAGGCAGAGTGGGAGAGTGGATCCCCATAAGGATCCCCACATATACCCCATAAGAGCCATAATGTGAACACCTAGTATCCCTCTTGATAACCCCTATAGTAGTCCCCTATAAAATCCTCTATATGACCTAGGAGTTTAGACTATAGCTCATATAGACCTCTATATTATATAACGGTACCTATATTCACTCCCCCACTCCACCAGTAGGCTACAGGCAGAGCTATGGACAGGCCACGTGTGGGTAATTGTGTGGACCTAAATCTGGGTGCTCCTCAGCCAGCCACCTGTTTTTCTTCTCAAAAGACAGCCCTATTTCATACACCGAATGTTCGGATCCTTGTTACTCTACATAAGAGGGAGCTCGGCCAAGGGTCCCGAACGTGTACAGCTGCCCTGTGGCGGATACCGTGAACCTCAAAGCCCCATACAATTCCCATTCTACCTTCTAGACCCTACTAGGGTGTCTATGGGGGCCCTATAGAAAATAGATTGCTATGGCCCTTTAAAGATTATACTGTGAATTATAAAAAGATTAACGGTAATGTGGGGTCCTGATCAGTGTAGGGGGTGCCCCCCCCAAACGAATAGGGGGACCCTTTCAATACAGCGGGACAGGGGGCCCCCCAAACAAATCTGGATCCTAGGTTTAGGCGGGATTGGATCCTCGGTTGTAATTCAAATTCAATAGGCGGGATTGGATTATTTTATTTGGCCGCGCAACTTCGCAGAATTAAGGCCCCCCAAAACGAACCAGGGGGGTAAGAATAATTTCGGCGAAACTTTGCACAATTGAGTCCCCCCACACTAATCGGGACACAACATTAATCAAAATGCAACGTATTTCCAAACCTACCCCAGCCTACCAGCCTACCTGGAAAGCCTTGTCACCCACCGGAAAAGGCTACTTTAACCCAAAGCCGTGGGAAAGTTCGGGAAAGTAGGCAACAATCATAGGCTACTTGCTTTGTAGCTATGAAGCCCTAGGATCCCTATATGCAGAGAAAAGACTCCTAACCCTGGATGCACTAGGAGAGCCACAACAGCAGCAAGCACTTCTTGAACAAAGGGGCTCTTCCATAAGAACATAACCCAAAGGGTCCAAGTACCCAATAATCATATACTTGCCCAAAAACCTGTACTATAATTACTATTACCCAATAATTGTTGAGTACTTGGACCCTTAGGGTAAGGACAGGCTGAGGATAGGCCTAAGACCCTGAACCCTAAGCCTAAACTTTGGTCCCTGAAGCCCAATCCCTATAAACCCCATAAGCCCTATCAACCCCATAACTCCGTACCACACCCTAAACCCTAAGCCCTAAATCCCTAAATCCCTAAATCCCCTAAACCCTATGAGCCCTAAACCCTAAACCCCTCCAGGAAGCTCATCAGCTTTCGGAGCTCATCTTCGTTATGCATGGGGCTGTCCTGAAGCTGCTCTTAGGGCCTAGGGTTTAGGGTTTAAGGTTGAGGGTTTAGGGTTGAGGGTTTAGGGTTTAAGGTTTAGGGTTTAGGGTTTAAGGTTCAGGTTTAGGGTTTAGGTTCTAGGGCTTAGGGTCAACAGAGAACGAAGTGGGACGAGGGTTTAGGGCTTATAGTGTTTACCCTGAACACTAAACCCCTTAAGCTATTAGGGTTTAGGGGAAGAGTTCGGGGTGGAGGGAGTAAGAGGGGTAGGGGTAGGAGTAGGGGTTGGAGGAAGCAGCGGGAAAGGTAGGCGTAGAAAATGGCTTTGTTGACGCCTTAACCCCGCCCCCACGCGGCAACAGTCCTTGGTCAGCCAAGTAGAAAGCCGTAGTAGCTCATTGGGGCACTGATGTGTGGAGGCCAAACCTAAACGCGCCTTCGTTTTGGGGTCCTGTTGGATTCAAACCCTGAACCCTTTACCGTGGTAACTTGAGGAACCTCAAGGGAGCAAAGCGCACACAGCGGGCGTACGTCGGAAGCGAACCGCTACAACCAGCAGCTAGGTCAATTTCTGGCTTGAAAACTATCCCCCAAACCCCCTGAAGCCTGCCCTGAAACCTCACCCTCCAAACCCTAACCCTATAGCCGTTAATGAACCGAAGGCCGCAAGTGCCCTCTCCCCAAACAAACGCGGAACCAAGCCCTGTTTAAGGACAGTTTTTGCAGGGCTGTAACATCCCACCCGCCAGCATGATACTTTGTGAGCTCACTTTTTTTGCAGGATTTCGTCCGCGATGTCAAAGCTGGTGATCTGTAGTCTTGAACAACGGCCTCCGCCGCTAACAGCATTCTCAGCACCCCGAGGTCAACACCACCCGCGTAGGTGGCTAACTTGCGTTCCACTGTAGTCTCACCCACTGTCGGGGCCGCGTTGCCGCATAGCACAATGCGGCCAAGCGTGATGGAACTGAGTAGCATTCCATGGCGCTGGTGTGGGGATTGCTCTGCAACAGGAGGAAAGGCCCTGAACTCTAAAGTCTGAACGCTACAGCCCTAAAAGCTTTAAACCCCAAAGCCACTAAACCCCGTAGCCCTACAAACGCTAAATCCTGAAATTCTCAAATTCGGTCGCTAAACTCCAGATGCCACTCAGAAAATGACCCTTACTCAAAAATTCCTGTCACCCAGCGTGTCAACCCAAAACCCTAGAAGCCCCTTAAATCTCTATGAACCCTCTAAGCGCCATGAAGCCCACAAGCCCTACAAGCTACAGTCAATATTTCCAATACAATTAATTGACATTGGTTCCCCTTCGGGAATATATTAGCTGCATTTCCAAGGGACCTATATCTACTCTTCATGATGCCTTGAAAGCCGAGGCCGTAAACCTTCAATGGTCTCTGAGCAACCCTAGTAATATTGCCAGTAGCTCCTAGAAGCCCTATAAACTCCTAGTATCACCCTTAATCATCCCTACAATAGTCCCTATAAAATCCTCTATATAACCCCCTTTAAAGAGTTTAGACTATAGCTCATATAAACCCAGTTTCCCCATAATGTCGGATTCGGATTACAAA